TATTTTAAGCTATTTTTTTTATAAAATAACAAAATGAATCTATTAAATTTTTACTATAACCCAATCCACGAGAGGGCTCAATAACATTTTTTTATGCAACCGCATACTTATTTACATAGTTTTTTTAAATGTATAAGCGAATCGTATTGCTTTTTAATTTTCATCAGAAATGATTTTCCTACATTACTTTAATATGTCCAATATACATACACTTTTAATTACTTATAAATATAATTTTTATTTATTTATTTATTTTATTACCTAAGTAAGTGATGAAAAATATAAAACAAACAAATCAGCACTTGATTTTGTAGCACGACTGTACTCTTGATCTTTTTTTTTTAATCTTTTGGCAATTCTCGCTAAATATTTTTTTATACTAAATTTTTATTCGATTAACTTATCAATTTTGTGCTTTATCATATTTTATAGGAGCCAAGCGTAGCGTAAAGTGCTCGATAATGACAATAATAATTGTAATTTCATAATAATATATATTTACAATATTTGTATAATATAGTACAAAACATTTTGTTCTAAATATTTTGTTTGCTACTTACATAATCAATTCGAGGGCTATCTTTGAAATAATTTACATTTTTTTATAAATATTCAATATTAACCGTAAGGTCAGCTGTGCTCCACGACTAGATCTATCGTGCTTACAATTAGCTTTCTTTCACACTCGCTTGTAATTCTATCTTATTCATATCACTCTAAGACTCAATTTACACTACCCTGGAATGGAATTGAAGCGACTTTTTGCTACGAAATTGTACAACGCATAATGAACTTTATATAGAGAGGGAAAAAAGAACATTCTCACATAAATCACACAAATAAAAGGACACCGTTCGAAGTGCAGTACTGCAATACTAGAATGATTCACATTACACGAATAAGTATAAATATGAGCTAAATTGCACGCAGGTTTTTCGCGTAATCCGCGCCCATTTTCGGGTATTCTCTAATTTGTGTGTTTTAAAGTTAATATAAATAAAGTTCACTATGCTACGTATAGTTTCGTCGCTTACATTCCGTTCAGCGGCAATAAAATTGAGCCTAAACAAAATAGGATCGAGTTGTCTCAAGTTTTCTAAGAAAATGTCAAGTGGTCCTTAGGAAAAAATAGAAAAAAAAGTATTGAAGCGAAAAGGAGTATGTAAGGGTCTTTTAACACAAGTCACGCAGAAAATTTTGTTATGATCGAACGGAACTGCGTTGCGCGTGAAATGGTTCGTTATGTCGATCATAACCGATTTTGACCGGGATACTTTATAATATAACTTCAGGGTCGAACGCTAAATGTTCAACGGTCGAAATGTTGAAATGTCGTGGTGGCCCGGAGGTTTAAGACGCCCACTTCTCATGCATGAGGGTGCGGGTTCTAAACCTACCAACGGCAAGTACCAATGTGACTTTTTCCGAGTTATATGTACTTTCTAAGATTATTTAGACACCACTGACAAACGGTGAAGGAAAAACATCGTGAGGAAACCTGGACTTATAATTTCTAATTATAAGTTTGAAATCGCCAACCCGCATTGAGCAAGCGTGGTGATTACTGCTCTAACCTTCTCCGTGTGAGAAGAGGCTTTGCTAAGCAGTGGGCATTTATAGGCTGTTGATGATGATGATGGTCGAAATGTTTTAAGAACTTAAGGTTGTGTAGAAGTCTTGGTTCGCAATCAAAGTCTTGATGAATTTTGTTAATTGAAAATGAAATGGAGGGGTAAACATAATTTTTTTATTGTAATAGAGAGAAAAAAACTTGATGTAAGAAACCTATGATGCAAAATGGCGTCTTATGGACATATTATTGAAAAGCGTATTTAACAAAACATATCGGATTTGGAAAATCCAAAGTATAGAAAAATCCACTTTATGATGATGACATAAGTTCCAAATTTGGATTTTAAAGAAATAATATAATTTTTTTTTAATTAATTAGTTTTTAAGTCTTACGCATGTTACTGCTCGAATGGTTTCAAAATACATAATCGCGGGCTCCGGGCCCGTGGTATGAGTAGTACATGCGAGTGTCGTCGCGTCTACCCCTACAACCTAATTAATATAATATTGTGTCACAAGAAACATTTCTTTATAAACAAAACAAATAGGTAATTAGGACTCATACATTGATTACAATTTTCTTCATGGTTACATCGATACAATCTGCATTCAATATATTTTCTTTATTTCAAGATAGAATTACATAAATCTGATATTAAAACTAATTCAATTTTCTGTTTGTCACTTCACAACTTGACTGTCCTTAGCCTTTAAAAAAGTTCATTTTGAATTTCACTAGAAAGCGTTCATTCGATTCTGAATGTCAGACGGATTCGATTCATTCATTCGAATTTCAATTTGTAAGATGTTTTTTTTTTCGTTGGAGTTTTATGAATTTGCACACAAAATGTAACCGTTGCTTCGGTTTTCGTTTGAAATTGGAACGTTTAGTTTTTTTTAGGTGCGGATTATAATGGATTTGAATTTATTTCTTTTTTTAAATCGAATTGTTACATAGTGTTTTGTTTATCTGTGTAAAAATTCAGTGCATTAAATTTTTTGGCGTACTTTATTAGTGTTCAATTAGATACAAAGCCGACTATCTTGTTGGTGGCATGGTAGAAACGGCAATTGTCGAATAAGAGGTCTCGCGTTCGATTCTAGGGTTGGACAAAGCATTTTCGAAGTTTAAACTGTCAAACACCAAGCGGTCACCGGTGACCGCGACCTATTGTTCTTTAATTGTGTCTATAAAACCGGTACTCGACGAGTTAATCAGTAATAACATTGATTCCGCAATCCATAAAAAAATCTTTTACCCATTGTACGGCAAAAAACTAACCCTCTATTACATAAATGGTAAAAAGTGGATGTTACATTGGAATGTGCACTTATAAAGTGAATGTTACTTTAAAACCTCTACCCATACCTCTTTGGAATAACAAACCCTATGAAACCCCTCCCAGCCTCATGTAGCACTTACTTGTATGTCTACCCAGCGAGGCAGTTAATATCAACCTTAATAATTAATGATTAAAGTTTCGGTTCACTCTCGCTCCGAAATCGATCAATATTATATATGTACGCACTATGTGAGTATGTATATCAGAGGATATTGTTCGACTATTTTAGTGGCCATTAGTTTTAAGCTCTTTGTTTTTAAAGATAGACGTCCAAAATCATAATGTTGGAGAGCCATGCTTTAGTACGAATAAATTGATACGAATTTGGTACGAATTCGGGTTCGACAAAGGCCTAAAGGCCTTATAGAAATCGACGTGAAACAACGCTTGCGTTCTGTTTCGTCCGAGTTTCTAGTATAGGAGACCTAGTTACTCCCCTTCCTAAAATCCCCAAAAATCCTCAATTTCGTAATCCCCAAAAGCCCGGTTAAGCACTTGTAACGCCTCTGGTGTTTCAAGTGTCCATGGGCAGCGCCATCAGGTGATCCGTCTGGTCGTTAACCGGCGTATCCCATAAAAAATTATAATGGTTCGTGACGTAAGACCTTATTTTGCTCTCTCCACAGATATATTAAAATATTTCTGTGGCTCTCTCTATATATGAGATCCATGTAATACACGACGAGATTATAATATCATGTTCAGTTGCAGACACAATGGTATTGCTAAAAAAATTCAGATCAATTTCCACAACATTTTGCCGAACACGGGAATTGAAGAGAGACCGTGGAAAACACTGAGCTTTTGTAATTCCAGAATACATATTATTAACTATTTTAGAAAATCCGAAAGCCAAGAAAATAAATCTAGTTTTTTTTTAATTTAATGTGCTGAAGGGTGCAATTAAATAGCACCCTGGACTTAAACTATCTGTACGAGTATTGAGGTAATAAAAACCGATCAATATTCTAACATATCCTTACTATCCTTACTAATATTATAAATCTGAAAGTGAGTTTGTTTGTTTGTTTGTTCCATCTTCACGCCATAACTACTAAACCGATTGCATTGAATTTTTGCAGACGTAAAGTTAGTAGTCTGGATTAAATAATAGGGTACTTTTTAACCCGGAAAAATTTGATATTCCCGAGGGAAAACAAAAGTATTGGTATAGATGGCGCTGTATGTATATGTCACACAGGCTTTTTATCCTTTTGTGACGCGAGCGAAGCCGCGGGTAAAAGCTAGTATTATTATACTCGATAACTTCGACTAGTCCAACCGGTCATTTCACAATACCGCGTTAAATTTTCAATAGGAGCGTGATGAAAATCGAGGCATTTTGGCGTATCGTGCATATTTGAGGAGTTTTCGTCAAGGTACTGCAAGTTTATGCTTCTTGAATGTTCTAAGTGTAAAGGTATACTGTGTTTAGGGATAGGCATACATAACATCACGCCTTTTATCCCCGAAGGGGTAGGCAGAGGTGCACATTATGCCACTGTACAATGTAACACCCACTTTTCACTATTTATGTTATGAGTACCATGTAATAGGGGATGAGCCTATTGCCATATATCGGGCACAATTCCAGACTTCGTGCTACTACTGAGAATTTATAAAAACCTAGTAGTATTTCGCCCGACCCGGGAATCGAACCCAAGACCCCTTGACCGGCAGTCGCACTTGCAACCACTCGGCCAACGAGGCAGTTACTATGAAGAATTTCCCAATATCTATTCACCCCTCTTCTGTCTCTATTCACCTCTCGATCCCTATCCACCCCATTTTACGGTACCTACATATATATTGTTAGATAATGACAGTTAAAACTTTGATTACCGATAGAGGGATCCGGTGTAGAATAGAGTTATCTCAATGTGATTATGGAAAAGTTAAAAAAATATTTATGTTTATTTCTAAACCAAATGAATAACAGGGTTAAAGTGAATTAAATAAACATCTAGATAACTTGTTGCTTAGTAATAACTTTATTTATTTATTTATATCTCTTTAATAAAATCTAAAACAAGACTTTAACAATAGGGATGATGACAGGGTATGAAAATTAAAAATATAATTAGTCCGTAAGTTAGGTAATTAAAAAATATTAGACACGTTTTTTTTTATTTTGTCGTATAATAAAGCAATACTTAGATAAAACGAATCAAAGTTTAGGAGTGCGGGGCTAAAACATCATTTCTACGTATCAAATGTACATAGAAGTGACATCACGCGACATTTCAAATCAATATACCGTCAAAAGGATTCGTTTCTGTAAGAAAATAAAAAATACGTGTCTAATGATTTAAAATAATCTACTAGACGGACATTAAAATAAAAATTAGGCATCTACCCTATTGTCATGGGCAATAACTTGCAACTAAAACAATGATCTTTATCTGAATAAAACCATGATCCTCCTTAGTTGTTTCGTCCTAGTCCGGTATCGAGTAGTTATACAGATTAATTAAAAATGACTCGATTTTGTGTGCAAAATAAAAAAAAACTCACAACGCAATTTTTCAACTAACCCGCCATTGAAATTTGAAACCGTAACCGCCATTCAGAATCGAAGACCGTTAAATTCAAATATTCAAATGATTGTGTTCTAAACTGCAATCATTGGTTCAATCGGAGCATGTTTTGCAACACTGCTCCTTGTACCGTTTGAGGGCACACATGTTCATCGCCCGGACGTTCTCGCAGAAACGGGAGCTGTCCCGACATATGCCATCTGTGGAGGTAATACATTGTTAGTGACGAAGTATAAGTGTGGGAGAGCCATGCTTCGGCACGAATGGGCCGGCTCGACCGGAGTGATACCACGGCGGGCGACGCTGATTGCTTACCATCAGGTGATCCGTCTGCTCGTTTACCGGCTTATGCTATAAGAAAAGGTACTTTGTTTTCTGATCGATTGGGTTTTTTAAGTAAAATGAAGTTTTTGCAGAGGGGAGTGGAGGTAAACTGCATTTGATATTGTCACTTTTAAGATATTTTAGTACCGCACTTATTAAAAGATGAAAAGTAATGAGTTTGTGAACTTTGTATTTCAAAATATCAAACTAAATAAAGGTTGCATTAAACACACACAAAAAAATTGGTTGCCTGTAAAGTCGAAAGTTTTACGTGACAACGACTTTGAGTGGTAAAATATTATGTCTGTCTCTCTCGCTCTTAGGCGGGCTAACCATGCCCGAGTGGAAGGGACGCGTGCCTCTCACTCGCTCTCATTGTGAGCGCAAAACGTGAGCGGAGCGTAACGCAGTTTCTTGAAGTGTCACCCGGCAAACCAATCAATTTATAAGACGTTGTCACGTCAAAAATGGTACTGATAATTAGTTCAAAGATAAATAAACGCAATGCGAAAGTTTAATCAGTAAATTCAAATTGACGTCGATAAGGTTAATATATCTTAGTACTGAAAACAATACAAATGTAAATTTAGGATAAAAAAGCAAGACTTACTTTCAATTGTAAATCATAAAAAAGTAATACATAATTTTAAATGAATACCTTTATTAACACAGGCATGTACATGGCACGGCCTAGTGACCCCCGGGCGGGGCAGTCCCTCGCAGGCGGCGGCCGCGCTCCTCTCCGTCCCCCGGCGGCGGGCGCCCGCGGCTCGCCACACGCAGCGGAGTGCGCGGTGCTGGCGGCCCACGGAGGAACATGCGCCTACACACTGAGGAACGTTTTGAGAATTAGGTGACAATTGAAGAGGAATGGAAATATGGATACAAATAAAAATACAGGTATATCTTAGATTTTTGTGATAAACGATATCATTATTTTTCATTTATTATATAAATTCTTGATAATTAGATTTAAAAAAAAAAACGTTGCCCCACACTAGGATTTTCTCCTGTGTCGTGGGTGCGTTTACAAACATATAAGGTCACATACATATGACTACCAGACCCGAAACAACAATTTGTGGATCACACAAAGTGTTGTTCCGTGCGGGCATCGAACCCGCGACACGTTGCACGGCAGCCGGTTGTCCAGGCACCGCACCAACCGTGCAGTCAAGTCAAATTGATTTTTCATTAAAAATAAATGTTATCAACGGGCGCTAACCACAAAGAAGCAATTCCTTTACAGATGGGGGCGTCTCGAATATACTAATTTAATAGAGCTTCATAAAATGAACGCATAAAGCGATGTTATTGTTGAATTTTATGTATTTAGTACTAGCACTAAAGTATTGCGGACCGAATCTGATTTTAGGATGACTATACCATTTTACGAGTTGAATCTAATATGAGAATTTCATACAAATTGTATAGAATTGAAGTCACCTACAGAATTTACTAAAATAACTGGACTACTCATGGCAATATACCTACTGAGAAAAGTTCTACCAGTTTCGAATCACAAAGGGACTCTTCCTCGGTCTACTAGTTTTACATTGGTGCTTGCGATAAGTTGAACGCAGGCACTAGCTAGTGTCGTGGTGGCCCGGAGGTTTAAGACGCCCGCTTCTCACGCATGAGGGTGCAGGTTCGAAACCTACCAACGGCAAGTACCAATGTGACTTTTTCCGAGTTATATGTACTTTCTAAGATTATTTAGACACCGCAGACAAACGGTGAATGAATAACATCGTGAGGAAACCTGGACTTATAATTTCTAATTATAAGTTTGAAATCGCCAACCCGCATTGAGCAAGCGTGGTGATTAATGCTCAAACCTTCTCCGTGTGAGAAGAGGCTTTGCTCAGCAGTGGGCATTTATAGGCTGTTGATGATGACTAGGCCAGTAAGCTGCGCGACATCCCGGCGACCGCGCACACTGCTCATGAGGAAGAGTCCCTCTGTGCTGTGATTCGAAACTAGTAGACCTTTTTTCAGTATATTTACGTAAGTCACCCGTCATTTTTAGTTAATTCAGTACGTTCTACAATAGGTTTTATAAAAATCACCTACAGAATTAATTATCTACGATTTATTGCAGGTATGTTGTTTTGCAAACTTCTAATTATAGACAACTGTTCCAATAAACAATTTGATGCGATCCTTTGCAAGTATTGTAAAATATTTATAGCCTAGTTTAGACTAAATAAGACAATTGAAACTGAAACCTATGAGAAAAACTGCTGTAGAAACAATATAATAGTCGATAAAAAAATATTCCTAAGGGAACAGTATTAGGGGTTGCGTATCACGTCACGTGCATGTTAAGGACCCTGCATAAGCCCAATGTTTTCTCTGAAAATGAGGTCTTTATAGACAGTAAATGAGACAAAATATGGTCTTATTGTTTTACTCACCTTACTCCAAGGCCCAACAGCCCAGGTGGCCTTACACAGGCTGGTGTCCCTCTTTATCTTCTCCGGTCTACTGACGGAGTCACAAGCGCTCTCGTGCAGTGTAGTGCCGTTCACCGCCACGCATTCCACGCGTCGACGAATTATGGCTAAAGAAAATGTTTGTTGATATAAATGTGTATGAAATATGACGTAGTTTTTGAGGGATTAGATAAAAATGTGTGTGTGTAAGTGGAAGAATTTTAACAATTTGTTAAAGTATTAGAAATTTTTAGAAAAGTAACAATGCTTAGTCTAAAATTACGCCTGGTCTGTAGCAACAGACAAAAAAAACCAACTCTTTACAAAATAGATTACTTTTTTTAAGTAATAAGAAAAAAAAAAGATTATTAATGTTTGCATCGCTTATTGTATATTTAGAAAGCTAGTCAATTGTTTAAGACATTATAGAATAACCGTAATTAGAAACTAAATTAGGCACAATATTCTGATAGGTTTAATTATGACTGCCTCGTTAGCCGAGTGGTCGCAAGTGCGACTGCCGGGCAAAGGGTCTTCGAATCCCAGATCGGGCAAATAATTACTAAGTTTTTTTTTAAACCTCAGTAGTATCACGGGGTCTGGAGTAGTGCCCGGTATATGGCAATAGACTTACCCCCTATTACATGGGACTCATAACATAAATAGTGAAAAGTAGATGTTACATTGTACAATGGGATTAAGTGTCGTATTGTGCACCTCTGCCTACCCCTCTGGGGATAAAAGGCGTGATGTTATGTTTGTAAACTAAATTAGGCACAATATATTAATAGGTTTAATTATTATACAAGAAGCCGCTTCAGACTTATCAATACGTTTGTCTAAAAATAAATTGTTCTGATTTATTTCCAAATTTGGTGGCGGAATTTGTCCCTGAAGGAAATAAGGTACGTGCTTAGGGCTTCAGTGGGCCACGTGTCTAAGTTTTTAAATAAATCTTGCGTAAAACCTTTTTTGTGTAAGGCAAGGAAATGCCATATGCCAAGGACTAAAAAAGGGTACTGAATTTAGGACAATCTTGACATAAAATCTGCCTCTAAGTTTAACGGACGAAAAAGCAACAGTTTAATTTTCTTTGTTTAATATACTGATAAATACAAAAAGACTGAGGTAAATATATGAATGTTATAAGGGGCAAAGATGTGATTTACTTTTACGACAACCGTGACTTAAAGTGCGTAATATAATTTCCTAAAGAACCAATACAGAAAAGATTTGGTCATTTTAATCATTTGTTTATTTAAGTCGGAGCCTAAACTTTAAACTAAAGCATATAAAAGAGACACATAAACACTTTAATTTCCTAAATATTTACTTGTATTAATTTTAACCGTGTTCTGGTTTCTTCCTCGGTCTTTTTTAGTCTACTCTTCGTCTATTCACTCCATATAATATACGTAACAAGTAGACCACTTACCAGCTCCACTGCTAAGACACTTGGGCGCGGACCAGGGCGCAGTCCTCCACTCCGCGCACGTCTCCCCCACACATTCACGAACCACTGTCGGTGGGGTACCACCTCGCGACAGACATTCTTCTGTCTCCACTGTAGTGGTGCTGTTGTCTTTTTTGTGCTGTTTTGGGAGTTGAGAACAGTTAAAGATATGAATGAATTTTTAAAGTTGATGGGCAACCTTCGGGTGTGATATGGCATCACGAGAAGAATAAATGAAGTAATTAGCTGCTATGGCTCAAAAAATTTGAAAAGGTATTTTTAAATAACGCCTTCAACTTAGGTCGTTGTAATGCTATTAACAAAATTTTGAATAGAGATAAAATTGCGTTTTATAACTTCTAAGTTTCCTGGTCTGTATAACAATGATAAACAATAAAAACCTATAAAAAATAGCGAATCTATAGTCTAATATTGATATAGGTAAAGTAATGACTTTACCATCATACCTAGTATACTCTCACACAATTGTTGGAAATCACTATTAAAATTTAAACCTTTGACATTGCAAATTTTACAATCTCGACTAAAAGCATTAGGCCATTCTAAATATACAAAAATGCAACACACACCTGGCAAACAGCTCCTCTGATCTGGTGACCAGTCTGGCTGCAGAGGGCACTGCACGGAGACCAGTCGGTAGTCATCCAGACGTACTCGTGGGCGTCTGGAGCTTCCAATCTAGGAGAACGTATTATAACAACATCAGAGAGCATATAGTAACTTGGTGTGCCAAGAAGGTCCAATTATTTATTTATTAAGGGGCAAGTATACACTAAAATACATGATTGGTTTAAAAATATTATAACATTGTATAGTGTGCAGCCTTAATTAAATGCTGCCACGACATGCATTAAACAAAGAACAAGATTTTACAGCAAAAAGTTTGCCTATCCAATTAATTTGTAAATTACGTTTAAAAGAACCGACTTCAACCTCCGCTTTTTTAAAATCGGTTATTGATATACTATAACCTTTTTCAAAGTGGAACAAACTCTTTTCTGGAAACCGCATCAACATCAGCAGTTGTAGCCAAACGCCACTTGAGTGCTTGTCTACAGAGAGAGTATAAATCAAAATGTAGACATGGGGATGTCAATGACAAGTGTCAAAATTTACGTCAATTCCATATAATTTGGTTTTCTATTCTACATGTAGACAAGCGCTTAGTGCCATTTGGCTATAGCTGCAGTTCAGACAATTGCGAGATAATGGTACACAAAAAAAAGTATATATAAATTTTTTTAAGTGTGGAAATTCATCTAATGACTTCTCCCAACTAGAGTGAGGCGAGAGGGAGTGTCAGACTCTTACTGACTAAAACCACCCCGTTCCGTCTCCTACACTTCGAGTCGGAGCCCTGGTAACCCGTTAGGTTCTCCGCGACAAACATACATACAATAGAGGTCAAATTGAAAACATATGTTTTTCTTCTTGAAATCGGCTAAAAAAAAGAAAACTTAAAAATAAGGACGAATCGACTAAAGGACAATATGTTTGACAAAAACTCTCCACCATCCGATAGACTTACCTATGTTCCGTAGTAGTCTCTTCAGGAGAATCCTTAAGATTCTCAACAGGAACATCTCTTAGAACATTTCTGTTATAATCTTCATTCACAATAATGATGTCAGAATCATCGTCCTCCGGGAAAACCATCTGCTTATCTTCCAAGTTGAAGAAATGTGACTTCGTTGGCACTCCATAGTTCTGATACATGATGATGGAGTCCACTGTCCTTTGACCCCTGGAGTTCCCAAGGCCCTGGAAATTCCAAAACATCTGAACATATCAATTATACATGCCCTAAATTAACTAGTTAAAAATTAGAGTAAAATAGTAAAATTTGTGAACTTTTTGTGGAAGCAAAAAATCTAATGAGTATAAAAATAAGTGTTTTGTTCAAGTTAATACCGAAAACGTTAAACAAAGCATTGAAAAAAATTGTATCAATTAGGTTTTTAAGGGTTAAGCCGTTATACGAGCAGACGTATCACTTGATGGTAAGCAATCGGCGTCGCCCAAACAACACACCAGAGATTACAAGTGCGTTACCGGTATTTTTGGGATTAGGAATTTAAGAAATGTTGGAGATTTAAGGGTTGGAGAAATTAAAAAATGTTTCTAAGTTTAAGTAATAAAAATAATGAATTACCACTAAGCTAGCTAAATTATAACCAAGGCATTAAATGCAAAAATATGTAATGTACTAGTTTTTTACTAGGCGATACGTCTAATTCTTTCAATATAACTAACTGGCAACCAAATGACCCTATATGACCGTCACATTGTGCAAATGATGATAATTATGACATTTTAACAAAGATTAGTTACTGTCAATCAACTTATTTAGTACGCAGGACAGAAAATAGAGATTGATTCAGTACAGAGACAGTCACCATAGGTTGACTAGAGAACCGACTAATGGTTACAGAATTATCAACAGTATGGAAGTGCCCACTGCTGAGAGCCTCTTCTCGCACGGAGAAGGTTGGAGCATTACTCACCACGCTTGCTTAATGCGGGTTGGCGATTTCAAACTTATAATTAGAAATTATAAGCCGAGGTTTCCTCACGATGTTTTCCTTCACCGTTTGTTAGTGGTATCTAAATAGTCTTTGAAAGTACATTATAACTCGGAAAATGTCACATTGGTACTTGCTGTTGGTAGGTTTCTAACCCGCACTCTCATACATGAGAAGCGGGCGAGCTCTTTGTGCTAAGCCAGTCTTTATTTTCTCACCTGCACTGTACACTAAATGACTTGGTTGATTGATACATAACATTATATAGTCATTTGGTTGCTAACACCTCAATTCTATTAGTAGTTCATCTAGCAGTCAACCGGTACATAATTATTATCTTCATCTATCTAAAAAAAAGGAACTCAAATCACCAGGAAAATGAAATATGAAACCAACATGCAACTCATGCTACCAGTCCCATCTACCCTCTGTACTGGGAACTTCTCACCTGGAGTTGCATAACAATGTAATGCAGGCAGGGAAGTACCCTAGATGCACTGCTCCGTTTGGGGGGAAGCATCTGCGAGGAGACGGCACTCTTCTTCAATACATAGTCCAAGCGGCGTGCGAGCAAGTTTTGTTAGGTTAAGCTTTTGTATTGGGTTGATAAATTGTCTTTGATTGGGCAAATTTTTCCTATATGAAGTCGAGTATATTATTGGCTATTTGCAAGAAACATCGCCATAGGGTTTGGGTAAAGTAGAAGACATTTTAGTTTACTTATCGCCACACCTACTCTTTTCCTAGATATTGCAGGAACGAATTAACTCTTTATGTACCGTCATTATAGACACAATTAAAGAACAATAGGTTGCGGTCACCGGTGACAGCTCGGTGTTTGACAGCCCGTTTAAATACATCCCCTAAATATGTTCATAAGAATTAGTCTCTAAGCATTGGAAATAAGGTCTACAATGTACACAAAGCACCGCTAATTAGTAGCAGCGCTACACATCGACACAACTGTCATTTACACAGTGTACATGTGTGCGTAATTTCATATAACTGTGTATAAAAATATTCGTCCACCACGTTCACATTGGTATTTTCATTCTTGTGTCGGTATACGTATTTTTATAATTTAATGCATAGGTAAGGTTAAAACTATTTACAATCATTGATATGACCCGACATTTTCACTGTCATTATCGTAGTGCTCGTGGTCGATTGGTTAATGAGCACGCTTTTATCGTCTTTCAAGGATCAATGATGTGGGTTCTATTCCAGCTAAAAGTTAATTTTATTTTACCTTGTTATTTTTTTTTTTTTTTTGTTTTTTGTCATAAAATATAAATATCAGGCTATAAAAGAAGCAAATGAGTTGGTAAATAAAACAATACTATTTTTTATTACAATTAATTTATTTATTATACAAATATGTTGTTTTATATTCAATATTTACATCTAATAATTAATTATATACCACATGTTAAGTTTAAAGTTTTTTAAATCATAATTAATAGATATGACAATAAACCTCATAGTCGAATCGGGAAATATCATGCGGTACAGCGGTAATACGATGGCAGCAACATTTTTTATTAAGTAGGTAATAAACAAATATACAACATTCTTGTTTTGTAATTTAATAATATAATGTATTATTAAATTACAGTTTTACAGTAATAAACAAGTAAAACATGTAAAAAATTACACTGTCAACATAATATTTCTTGAAATGGGCGACTTTTTGTCGTTTGAACTTCCATTAATTATCTATTTTACGACGGTTGTTATAAGGTTCAATATTCAGTGGGCTGTATGATAGTAAAAAGAATGTGACGAATGCTATGGAACGATTTTAACTTTCATGACCTTTAGAATCAGGGAAACTTTAAATTAATTGAAGATGGGCGTAAATATAATATGTCAATCAAGTTCGAAAGCAGTTAAATAAATTTGTTAATGAAAAATTAAAGTGAAGTGAATAAACATGTTGAATAGAAAGAAATTATGACAATTTCTAACCACAAAACAATAACATCACTTCACCGTATGTTCTAGACAGCATTTTAATATTCTTAAAAAAATTAAACATTATTTTATGTTAATTTTAATAAAGGCAGAGTTTGACAGGCTCAATAATTGATTCCGAAATCAATACAATCACTGATCCTACAAGGCAGAAGGTTGCAATTCGTATACCTTTCTCCATCTTTTCTTCACAATATTTTACGCCCATCCTTATCCGACTTGAAAGTCTTTTCGTCGCTCAATATGATTACACTGTTCGCCCAATCAAAATTAATAAAGTCCTTAGCAAATTCTTAGCGCTTTTGCTGGTGAACCACAGATAACAATATTTTCTTCTCTGGCTTCCTGCACCTTAAACCAGAATGCAGGTGTCTCCGTACAGTTTGTATTAAAACATTCAGTGCTGTCGCTGTAGTGCGGGTTGGCAGGAACGGATCAGCCATGTGCCTGGCTACGATGTCGTAGTGCCGAGCCGATGAATTTGCCTTTGGTTTAGGCCCACGTCGACGATGTTTAACGTCACCGGTCTCCGCATATCTGTGCACCCATAACTGCATGGATCTCCTCTGTTGATACCAAACAAATAAGTATTTAAAATACCAGGAAATACTTTACAGGAATTAAAGTTACTTAAAAATAATAATAAATATAAGTAAACACAATGTTAGAATAATAATTTATAATTAAGTAGTGGCGTAAGGAATAAAAATCCCTAACCAGATATGTTTTAAAGAAACACTCCTAACAAAAACAAGTCAAGTTACAATACAATTAATAATAAATTATTAATATATCTTTATAATATTGAACTTCATAATAAGTTGCAATAATTATTTTATTCTAGTGCAAAAATTGATAGGTGTGTCGAGTTACAAAATGAAATAAATATTATTTAGAATATCAACGTAGTATCTTATTTACTCACCGATATCATTAAACGCCTTGCTATTTCAGTTATTGTTAGTTATGTTTTGCTCATGCAAAACAATGGTTTCAGCCTTTTTAAATGTTGATAGGTGTTGGAACATCTTGTAAAAATAAAAATAACTTTGCACACGAATATAAGTAGTGTAGCAATAAACTATGAAATCCTCATAAATTGACAACTAAGAACGCAATTATTTTGTAAGTCGGGTGATTTGAAAAACATGTTTTAAATAGTCGGTAGTTACTTCATAAGCGTGTAAAATAAAATGACTCGAGATTTCTATGGTCGCCACAAACATTGCAAATATACTCAGGTATCGAACCATTAAGAAATCACAGTTAATTACTTTTTTACTGTTTTTATCTTATTTAAGTTGGTTGAAATGCATGAAGCAAATGAGATTATTCTAAATAATAAATAACTAGAACTAAAATATAAATAAAAGATATTATAGGTATAAATAAATCTAAAGTATTTACTATTAAAATTAACATAAGATTTAGAACAATAGGAAAGGAAAAAAAAGAAAAGATTTAATTGTTTCTAATTTCAAATTTCAAATATTTGATAAATTAATTCTAAAACAACATGTGAATGTTGGAATCGATCCGGCGGCACTTTACTTGACAATTGGAGGCGATAACCATTGCGCCAAGCGCGCTGTAGATGAGATCATCGAAATATTGTATATCATTCAGTAACATAAAAATACAATGAGAATGCACTATATTTATATGGGTATTGTATAGCTCGATCGTTCATTATTTTTGATTTCGATTTATTCAAAGTTTGTTATGAGTAATTTTATCTTTACCCTCGTTTTTATTTAAACTTATTTACTAAATTATTGCGTATACCGACACAAAAATGATTTTTAAATACCAAGATGTGTGTGATAGACGAATGTTTCTATACATATCTATTGATATGAAATTACCCACACATGTATATTGTGTAAATGATAGTTGTGTCGATGTGTAGCGCCGCTAACTAATTAGCGGTGCTTTGTGTACCTACATTGTAGACCTTATTTCCAATCGGTCACCGGTGATCGCTCTCCACTACCTAGTGGAGAGCGATCACCGGTTGGGGATCTATGGGTTATGGGATTTCAAGGCTTTTTTTGTATCCAAGACTTTAAATTATTTGGCTGACACTGTCAACTTTCATTTTGCTTAGGATATTAGCGTTCTCTGATAAACCTGGGGGCTTACTCTTGAAACCAATTTCAATGTCAAAACAATTTCAATCCAATATAATCTCAATAATTATTCAATGTCAAAACTATACAACCAAAATCGTAGCTGTTAAAACAGCATTCAAAGTACGGAATATAA